CCTGGTTCCCCACGTGATTGTTTTGGAAGAATTTTACCACAGGCGCTCTCACTCACTGCCGCCCCCTGCCAACTGACCACAGGAATTCAGATGGACCTATGGTCACAGCATAGGAAGGGGTGATCTATGGAAAAATTACACCTCCCTAGTTAATAAGGATGGCAGGGGAAAAAAATGATGTCTTTGCTGGAGACGAGTACTGAGTATCCCATGGACGGCCAAAAGAACATACAGATATGTCTTGGAGAAAGTGCAGCCAGAGTGAGTTTTGGAGGTCAAAGTGATAAAGCTTCATCTCACATCCTTTGGGCATATTGCGAGGAGAGATTATTCCTTTTAGAGGGACATCAAGCCTGGGAAGGTAGAGGGACAGTGAAGGAGAGGAAGACCCTCAACCAGGTGGGTTGACACAGTGACTGCTGCCATGTGCTTGCGTGTGTCAGAGATTGTGAGGATGGCACAGGCAGGACAGGGCTTAGACCTGTTATTCATATGTTGTTATGAGTTGTACTCAAATTGATGGCACTTAACAATAACTTACAAAGTTAATGGTACTTAAACTTGCAGGGTGATTTTTCACTGCTGCTGATGGAAACTGACATGGTAATGAGAAAACTGGTTACTGGTGTCTGGGGCACGTGCCACACCAGCTCTGGCCACTGGTGCCCGGGGCACGTGCCACACCAGTCCTGCCTGTGAGCACAGGGTTCCCTTCAGGAAACCAGCGAGCTTGCAGCCACATAGACAGTGTCATTCCACACAGTCACCTTGCAGCTGGCCCCAAGTCAGAGTGATGTCAGTGATGTCAGCAACGACACAGGTTGAGTGTTGATAGCCGAGGGGTCCCCATCCAGATCAAAGGAGGCAGCGTTCGATTCCCCAGCACAGCTCTTGTCTTTACATGGAAATGGATAAAGTGGTGGTCAATGAGATGCGTGAAGATCCACATATAAATGTGTTTCTTGAGCCCAGAGATTTAAATTACGATTGTTTAGTTAATGACTAGGAGTGCGCAGACACGAGTTCGCCCACCGAATGTCATGCTCTGGGGTTGGTTCCGACTCACAGCAACCCCACAGGGCAGACAGAACGGTGCCACAGGGCTTAAGAGGCTGCGATGGTTACAGCCACTGACCGCCTCACGCTTCTCCAGCAAAGCAGCCAGGAATTCCAACTGCTGACTTTTCAGTCGGCAGCCCAACACTTGGACGCTAATGCCACCAGGACTCCCTAGAAACCAATTACGACAGCAATAAAATCCCCTGCTTTTTAATGCCAAGCCATGTTCCTTGACAATTCACTTCGCACTAGCCACCTCCTTAGACCACACAGCTGCAGGAAGCAGAGGAAACCTGTGTGACACTTCCATAGTACACTGGGCACTACAACTAAAAGGACAAGTGAATGAATGAGTGTGCTGGGTGAACTCACGTGGGATTCGGAATCTGTCAGAGAAGATGGGACAAAGGAATGAGGCAAAACTCTCCATGGAATTCCCACCCTTCACACTCCATGCAGCCCGAGAGCCCCTGTCCCTTCTCAGGGTTGAGCTCTGGACCCACAGCGCCCACATGGATTCTGCCTCTGAAGCAAAGCGTGTGCCGACTGTTTCCGGGAGACCGTCAGCACTCAAGAGCTGTTCTTCTCCCTACGCTTCTGTTAACGGATTTATCCATGATAGCCACTTTCTTAGAGGTTTGGTTCTATGACGTTTCATAAACCTACACAGCGACGTAATTACAACCACAGTCTAAACATTCAGTGGTGGTTGTTTGTTTTTTTTTTTAATTTTTTAAATTTTTTATTATTTTGGGTGTGTGTACCATCAAATTGGATCTGACAGGTACAGGAGGAGATTGCGTCTCCTTCTCCAGCAGAACATCTGGTGGATTCAAACCACGTACCTCTGGGATTGCAGTGCAGCTTCTTGCCACTAGGCCACCAGAGCTCCCTTAACATTCAGTTTGGAGGCATCCATCCCTCAGAATTCCCAGAAATCCTACTATGCCTCTTTGTGCCCAAGTTCCTCCCCCACCCCTACCTGCTGGCAATCATGGACCAGATTCTTTTTTACCTATAATTTTGTCTTTTTCAAAATGTCCTTCAGTATCCATTTTATTTGATCTCTTCTCTCTGTGTCATCACAACTCTTTCTATCAATTCCTTTCCCCTGACCTGAAATCCTCCCCTGGCATTGACACTGTCCCAGAGCCTCTGGCTATTCCTCCAGAATCCTGGGATGGTTTCTGCTCTTCAGTCGGCTCCAGAAAGGTAGGTGTTTTCTTTGAGGACAGTCCTTTCCTCTCTTCTCACCGCTCTTGGGGTGAGCCTGGCCTCTCCCTTTGTTTAGTGACTGAATTTATGCTTGCTTAGCGACTTTAGAGCACTGGGGGCTTGTTGTTTTTGTTAGGTGCCACTGAGTCACCTCTTACTCACAGCAATCCTATGTACAATAGCTCTGAACCCTGCCCTATCCTAAGCCAGTCTCACTGACTCTGACACACCTTCCCCCATTGCCCCCCCATCCCTGTAGCAATCCATCTCATCAGGGGTTCTTCCTCTCCTGTGCTGTCTCTCCACCCTTCTAAGCATGATGTCCTTCTCCAATGACTGGTCTCTCCTGGCCACATGCCCCAAGTATGTGAAACGGAGCTTCAAAATCCTTTCCTCCAAGGAGAAACTTGGTTTCACCCTCTCCAAGACCAACCTGTCTTGGTGGTCCATGGTATGTTCAATATTCTTCTCCAGCACCACAACTCAAAGGCACTGATTCTTATTCTGTCTTCCATAGTCACTGTGTCTAGCTCTCAGATACACAGCAAGTCATTGTAAAGACTATGCCTGGACCACGCACATCTTAGTCTCTAGACTGGCACTGCTGATCTTCAGAACTCTAGAGAGGTGCAGATTTTTCCCAGTGCAATGCATCTCTTGACTTCCTGGCTGCCGGTGCCAAGAGTGTTGGTGGCTTAGAGGTAAGGAAGTGTGTTGCCAACTCAGAGGAACACGGTTCGGATTCACCAGCTGCTCCATGGGAGAAGGAAGGGCAATCTCTCCTGTGATTTAGTCTCTGAAAACCCACCGGAGGGTCAGCTATGGATCAGTTTGGATTCTACTGTACACAATAACAATAGTAACCTATATGCTCGGAATTCAGAAGGTTTTCCCTACTGTTCCTTACTGGTGAGCTTCACATCTGTCCTAATGGATTCACAGGCTCTACACCCTGTTCCCCCTGCAAGTTCTCTGAGACAAAGCCATGTTCCTTTCTGGTTGTGCCAACCCGCCTCCCTCCTGTGTGGCTAACAGCATCATGATATGGTACCACCTGGCCACCACGGAGAACACTCTCTTTCCTCACCTTGTTCATGTAAAGGACAGCTCCCTGTAAAGACGTCTCAAACTCTGTAAACATGTCTCACATTCTCCCTGACTCTGAATCTCCTTCTGTGGCCCGTGATGACCCTTGTGCTGGCTGACCTTATTTCCAAAGTCCACTGAAGGGTCTCTGCATCTTGTCCTTTCCACTAAGCATTTTCCACAGTGCTGCAAGAGTTGTTGTTTTTCTAGAATTCACACATCAGATCAAGTGCTTCTTTCTATCAAAAACATTCTCTACAGTGACTTTCCAGTGTTATAGGATAAAACGCAAGTTCCTACAACCAACCACTGAGGCGTGGAAGAGTTTACAGTCTTTACAGCCTAGTCCTGTCGCTGCCCATCACACTAGCCCACCCCAGAAAGGGGACAGCATGTACTCCTGTGTCCCTCAGATGGCACACCCCTCTTGCCCAGTTCAGAGGCCACGCATTTATGAGGCACACATAATTCTCTTCTTCTCCCACACTTCTCCCCATCAGCTGAATGCGCTGAGCTCGAGAACATTCTGAATGCCAAGAGCACTCTCTACTTGCCCGAGGGCTGTGCAAAGCTCTGCGTGCTGGTCTTAGGGTCTCTGTGCCTCACATCAGTAAGAACGTAAAAAGAAGCTTATTAAAACCATTCTGCCCCATAAGAGATGAAAGAAGAGCAAACCCAAGGGTTCAAAAAAGTCACGTCCTTAATGCTTATTTGTGTAGCAATATCAGCACGCACCATGGATCAACAACAACGTTGTTGTTTGGGTGTGGATCACTTTGCCATAAATAAAAATAATAATGATTCAGAATTGGGGGTGTGTGGGTGACTGCAGCAATGGGCTCAAGTGCGTCACAGACGATGAGGATGGCACCGGACAGGACAGGGTTCAGATCTGTGCCCACAAGGTTGCTATGACTTGTGCTCAACTTGATGGCACCTAACAAGAAGTCATTTTTGTAGCCTGAGATCTCATCCAGAAGAACTGCGCTCAGGACACACTGTCCAGCTGAGGTCCTTCTGGTCACCAAGAGAGTGCTCCTCTCGAGGGAAGCATTTTGGGTGTGAAGTTTTACATAATAAGTATTCATTTCTCTGCTCATCTGCTTCCCTCCACAGATAATTCAAAATCACAACATCATTCTGTTAGCAATATGGTCCCAACAGAGCAAAGCCAAAAAGGAAGATACCTGTGATTTACTAATACATGAGGCCGGAGCTTCCCTTTGGTGACCTGACCAACGTGGATGTGGCTGGTCCTACCTGGTTCCGAGCACTGACCCCCACTCGCTGCCCCGTGCTGTACAACATTATCATTTGAGAGCTACGATGTAAAAAGGCTGAGAAGCTGGGTACTGAGCCACGTCCTCACTTAAACGACAGACTGAGGTTTCCCCAGTGACTCTCCCCACGTCCTCTGAGGAGAACTCTGTGCGTTTATGACTCTAGTGACCTTGAACGTGGGATCCAAACGACGACACTCAGACACCCCAATTACAACGGCAGAGTGGGTTTTGGTGGTAGAGGGTATGTAGGAAAACAGCAAATCCTATTAATGACTCCACAACGGAGGCTTTCAAACGAGATGAGGCAGGATGACAATACAGAGTGCGGATGGCTTTGGGCAGAGGTCACTCACTCACCGTTCCGACCAAAGGGTAGATGAACCCCGCGCCGATGCTCGCCCGGACGTCGCTGATGGGCAGGATGAAGCCCCTCGGGACGCCCTTCTTGTCAGGTTGGTGAGACAGAGACAGGTGTGTCTTGGCCATGCAGATGGGCAAGTTTCCGAAACCCTGTAAAGCAAGGGAGGCGAAAACGATCACAGAGCGTGTTAATAAATCTGCACTTGGTTTCCATGAGCTTTCAGAGATCTCTACGACATCGCGTGGCTGGCCAGACTCAGGCACACAGTAGGTGCTTCCTCCGACCTGGACATTCAGCAAGAGGGTGAGGCCAGCACACAAGTCCCTCCAGCACAGGGAGGGGTGCCTAGTATTTTTTTTTTTAGTTTCTCCTTGAGAGAATGATACACGCGTGCGTATGGGGAAACAGTGGCTATTTTCAGACAAAGCGGCAGCAGTCGCAGCTGGAGGAACCACTTTGTAAGGCTATTAATATCCAAGACACAGCAAGGTAATCTGCAGACAGGCTCTGTAATGAGGCGCTCGGTCTCATGCGCCCTTCGTTCCTGGCATCTGTCCGCAAGCAAAGGGTCCCTTTGTGGTCCTTATGAATCATGGCTATTTGATCTGCGATTACATTATAGGCCCAAAGATGAGGTCACTGCTCCAGCCTCTTCTTTTTAAGGACCAAAGGCTTCGCCTGACCCAGAGTCCCCAAGGTGAAAGGGCAGGAAGTCACATGTGGCATCTCACAAAAAGAACAGTGTCCCCGAAGCCTGCTTCTGATTCAATGGCCCACAGTGCTCTCTCAGAGACTCTGAGCTAATTAATTGCAACCACATACTCGACTGTACATAACTTTTAAGGATTAGTCCTTCCAGAGACAGAGGTAAAAGGAATGGAATCTTCAGAGGCGATTCGTGTAGAATGTCTTATGACTCAACTGGAAATGATTTGGGAGATTTTTAGAATTTTTAGAATGTCATCAGGGGAGGGGGGAAAAAAAAGAATGTCAACAACCAGCAACCCCTACTCTTTGTCATGTGTGGGTCTTGACAAAGAATACTCACACCTTCTCCACAGAAATGATGTCCAGAACTTCAGATTTCAGAGCGCAGTCAAGGACTATGTCAACTATTTGCTAACTTGAAAACTTGCCAAAAGGGATAATAATCAGCCAACCAGTAGGTGTGAACTATGACCATTTATTTGTATACAAGAACATTTCAAAATGGAAAGAAAATAATTAAAAAAAGAAAAGATGTGATACTGGAATAAGTGGCATTCTTTCAAGAGCTTTATAAAAATGCAAGACACTGATCTTATTTGGCTCACTTCATTAGCTATTGGGTGAAAATGGCACCCAAGACAATGTCAGTATGGAAAGCAGCACTGGGAATCTTTATTTCCAAGGACAAGCCAAGAAACTATGTAGAACATTCTAAGGAAATAATGAGCTGCTATCTGTAACATTCTATGACAGGTTTGGAAGCAGGGGTGGCATCCACTTTCTAAACAATATGCCTCCAGACACCCTATGAACTTTGACAAATGTCAATGGCTTCAGGCCTATTGTTCATAGACTCGCTATGAGTCGTGCTCGACTCAAAGGCAATCAACAACATCTACCTCACCTAACCTGGAAGAACACAGTGGTTTTCACCAGTAATACTTAAATTATGACTGCTACCTAAGATTAAAAACTTGAAAAATAGGGGGAAATAAAATTCATGACATTTACAATGATCCCTGTAACCTCCACCTTAACAGGTCAACAGGCCAAAGCGTATAAGGCATCGAGCTGCTTGGTTCTGTTGAAGGGGTGGCTGCCCAGGGTGCCGTGAGGTCACTGAACAGGACCGTTTCTGACAAATCACCGCCTGCTCACAGCCTCTGTCCCTCTCTGGAGGTAGAAGGGATGAAGCCTTCAGACTTGTGAACATTGCCTACAACAGGCCAAGAATCTACCTGCATGAAAAGAATGTCAAGCATTTCTTCTTCAGGACACTCTTCTACTTGCCTAACCTAGCACCACACTGATACAGTTAAGGTAGCAGGAGGCCTGCAATGAAGAAGCCCCATGTATCATCTGTATCTGACTCCACATCTGCATGCCCAAAGACAGGTTCAAGGGCTGTGGCCAGCCAGGAGAACCTGCAGATGACATGGCCCATGTATGACTGTCGCTGGGTACCACTGAGTCCATCACAGCTCCCAGCGATGCTATGAAGAAGTGAATGAGCCCTGCCTTTGCTGTGCGTTTCCCATGATCACTGATACGCCTGAGCTCACTGTCAGTCACCGTGTCAATCCATCTTACTGGTGTCTTCCTCTCTCTCAGACACACGAGGGGCATATTCTTTCAAAATACTGTTCTAATATAGTTCAAACGCTACCCAAGAATATGACTTCAGCCTTGGTAGACCATAAAACAGATTAAGCAAAGTTTTCCCAGTGAAAAATAAAGCAGTTTTCAAGGCCAGGTGAATATTTTAACAGTTTAAGGTGGCTCTGCCCCTAAAGGGACAATCTTTACCTGTTGAGTGTAGCGATCTACTTTGGACTGTGCTTCTGGGGAGAGTTCGATATCTTTGGCTCCATAGACGGCTTGGGCAATAGTTCTTATCTTTTCCACAATTGGAAGCTGGAGAAACACAAACGACAACCACAGTATTACCCTCAATCCGGTTAAAGAACTAAGTGAGCACTTACTGACATTTTCTCTAGTTGCTTAAACTGAACTTCCAGATATTTGCCTGTTTAATAGCTATGGAATTCTGAGCAAATACTCTTTTTTCCCTTTGATTAAAACTGAGAGTGATGAAAATTTCAGACTGGAGTAAGATACCTCAGACCAGCAAAGACGCTGTTTGTACAGTTAATACTTTCTATCCGTTTTAGCAAAATAAACATAGATCTGTAAAACTGGCATACATACACATATAAATATAAAATGTGCATTATTCTTTTTAATGGTCTTACAACCCTGAATGGGGATCTCCAATTCAAGCATATAATCCTGGGTTTAATTAGGTCTAAATATTGGTTAAGAGACAGAAAGCAGAAATATTGAGAAGATATATTTTCTGAGTAGGAGACATTAGTAAATATAAGTGCTGATGAAACTGAACATTTCACTGGAACTCCACGTCTTTTTGGCTAATGGGAAAAAGGCAAGATGATACTATAGACAAAGGAGGGACATGAAAAATTATTTCCATCATGTTAGATAGGAAATCGAGATGGAGAGTGCAGATTGGGTACTAAAAGTGACCACAGAAGAACTGAATTATTAGAGAAAATAGAGGTCATAGATAAAACTACACCTTAATTTAGGCAAAACATTTGGCAAACCCTCTCATAATCTTATTCTAAGTATAAAACAGGCCAGAATCATGCAGTTAGTAGATTTACTGTTGGGTGAACAGCTGCTGAAATAAATGCCAATGGACCAGATGTCAAGTGAGGGACAGAAGTCTCTGGTCATATGCTTTAAAGACCCTGATTGCAATGGATAGTTGAGCGCATGTATGTGTTATAACTGATAACCACTGAAGGGAGAATTACCCAAGAGAGTGTGAAAGCTAGCCATCATCAGCTATATCATTTATAGACTTCTTGAAACTATTTTAAAATGTGGGGTTTTTTTAATGAAAAGCATAATTTTTATTATTGTAAAGCTATTCTGTGGCCTAGAGCTTAAATCTTGGACATTTCAATGAAGAAAGAAATGTCTCTCAGCCTTCGTATAATGTTATGTTCAGCTGAGTCAGCACCAATTCAAGGCTGGCCCTCCAGCAGCTTTTTTAGGCGGTAAATTTCATGGGAAGAGATTGTCCATTCTTCTCCTGCAGAACAGCTGGTGGATTTGAACTGCATGCCTTTGAGCTGGCAGTGTGAATCCTTACCACTAAGCCATCAGAGCTTGTTGTTGTGTTGTTGTTATGTCTCTGACACTCCCATCCCGACTATTCCAGCTTAGTTCAGTGTAATTCTAATAAAAAAAAATCTCAAGGGAAGTTGGCAAATTGTCTATTTTGACATGGGAGAGGAATGGCACAAATACGTAAAATTATTTTGATCACGTGAAACCTATACTCAGACCAGAAGCAGTCCTCAGAACAGAGCAAGGAAACACTACATGGTTAAAAATCAAGAAAGGAGTACCTCAGAGATGCATTCTATCTCTATATCTTTTCAATCTATAAGCGGAACACATCATTTGGGAGGCTAGGCTTTATGAGAAGGAATATGGCATCAGGATTAGAGGAAGACTCATCAACAACCTGCGTTATGCAGAGGATACAGCCTTGCTTGCTGAAACTGAGGAGGACCTGAAGCGCTTGCTGCACAAAGTCAAGGATTATAGTCTTGAATATGGACTGAAGCTCAACATGAAGAAAACAAAGATTCTCACCACTGGGTCAACTGGCAGCACCAAGAGAGATGGAGAAAAGAGATTGTTAATAATTACAGCTTGCTCAGCTCCACAATCAACACTCTTGGCACCGGCACTCAGCAAATCAATAGACAAATTGCATTGGGGAAATCTGCTGTCAGGGATCTCTCCAGAGTGCTGAGAAGCATTGATGTCAGTCTAGAGACTAAGGTGTGCCTGACCCAGGCCATGGTCTTCGCAATTACTTGCTATGCATCAGAGAGCTAGACAATGTTTAAGGACGGCAGAAGATTGAGTTGCAGTGTTGGAGAAGAGTGCTAAACATACCATGGGCAGCCAAGAAAACAAACAAGTCTGTCTTAAAGAGAGTGAAACCAAATTTTTCTTGGAGACCAGAATTTTGAAGCTTTGTCTTACATACTTTGGGCATGTGGCCAGGAGGGACCAGTCCATGGAGAAAGATATCATACTTGGAAGGGTGGACGGACAGCACAGGAGAGAAAGACCCCAGGTGAGATAGACTGACACAGTAACTGAGGCAATGAGGGTAGGTGTGTTGGCGTCAGTGGGACTGGCTCAGGGCAGGCTTCAGAGCTGTTGTACATAGGGTTCCTGAGTGTTGCAGGCAACTCAATAGCACATAACAACAATCAAGTAGCAAAGGGGAACACTGGTGGCTTAGTGTTAAGAAGCTGTGCTGCAATCCCAAAGGCACTCAGTTCGAATCCACCAGCTTCTCCACAGAAGGATGGGCAATCTCTTCCCGTGTGATTAACTGCCTCAGAAAACTCACCCAAGGGTCAGCTATGGGTCAGATCCCACTTTTTGATACACAACAACAACAATCAGGTAGCATACAAAGTACCAAGGAGGTGTACGATGGGGCTGTGTCCTTTCTCCATACCCATTCAATGTGGACTCTGAGGAAATCATTAGGGAAGCTGCACTCTAGGTAGAAGAATGTGATATGAGAATCAGAGGAAGAGTCATCAATAACCTGAGGTACGCAGATGACGTCACCTTGTTTGCTGAAAGTGAAGAGGACTTGAGAATCAAAGACTACAGCCTCCAATATGCCTCTCAATATCAAGAAGACCAAAATCTATATAAAAATCCTATATGCAAACCAATTAAAAAAAAAAGACAAAATCCTCACTAGACTGACAGACAAACATCAAGATAGATGGAGGAAAGACTGAAGCTGTCCATGATTTCATCTTACTTGGAGCTACAATCATATTTGGAAAGGCAGTGGGTCGGCGAAAGAGAAAAAAAGACCTTCAACCAGATAGACTGACACAGTACAGGACAGGGTTCAGGTCTATTGTTCACAGGGTCGCTAGGATTTGTACTCAACTCAATGGCACCTAACAGGTAACAATCAGGTAGAAAGCACCTCAAGAGTGACATCTCTGCAACAATGAATGAATGAAAATCTAACTTTTCTGTAAACTTTTGTTAAAATGACAATTTAAAAAAAAAGGCATCTCATTTAAAAGACTCAATATTTATATCAGCCAGAGAATAAAGACAGAAGAACAATTGATGCTTTCGGGCTGTGGTCTTGGAGAAGAGTTTTGAAGATACCATGGACCAACAAGAAAATAAATAAGTGTATCTTGAAGGGGGTAAAACAAAGTTTCTCCTTGGAGGCTAGGATTTTGCAGCTCCATCTCGCATATTTTGGGCATGTGACCAGGAAGGGCCACTCCTTGGAAAAGGCCATCATGCTTGGAAGGGTGAAGGGACCAGCACAGGAGAGAAAGACCCTGGTGAGATATATTGATACAGTGACTAGGGCAATGGGTGTAGGTGTGTTGGAGTCAGTGAGACTGGCTCACAATAGGGCAGGCTTCAGAGCTGTCGTATACAGGGCTGCTGTATGTTGTAGGTGACATGATAGCACCTAACAACAACATGGAATAAAGAATCGTTATAAACTCAGAAACAAGCTCTGGTGGCACAGTGTTTAAGCACTAGTTGTTACTAAACAACTCCGATGGAACAGATCTGACAAGATTAGAGCTGAGAACAGCCCATGCGAAGGCTCTGCTTCAGTACTTGTGTCCCCATGAGTGGTACACCAATGGCTCCCAACCACAAAACAAACTCCGAGGACAAAGCCCACTTCTTGTTCACCGTTACATCCCAAGGGGTGGGGTGCAATGCAAACCCTGGAGCAGACGTTGCTATGTGCCACTGAACCGGAAGTGACTCACAGCTTAGGCTACATGGGATTCCAGAAGATGTCAAATTATTGTTGTAATGTACCCTCAAGTTGCCTGTGACTCATAGAGACACTATGCACAATAGCTCTGAACCCTCCTCTATCCTGAGCCAATTTCACTGTCTCCGGCACACATCTACCCTTACTACCCCAGTTACTGGATCAATCCATCTCATCTGGAGTCTTCCTCTCCTGCGCTGTCCCTCCACCTTTCCAAGTATGATATTCTCCCCTGAGGACTGGTCCGTCCTGGCTACATGCCCAAAGTATGTGAGATGGAGTCTCAAAATCCTTGTCTCCAAGTGGGAGCAGCTTAGTGTGACCCTTCCAAGGACAACGCGTTTCCAGAGGCTGTCAAATGGTTGTTGTTGTTGTTATGTGCCGTCGAGTCGCTGCGACTCATAGCGACCCTATGTACAATAGCCCTAAACTCTGCTCTGTCCTGTGCCAATTGCACCGTCTCTGACACTCCCATCCCGACTATTCCAGTCACTGAATCAATCCACCTCATAGAAGGCCTTCCTCTCCTGCGCTGTCCCTCCACCCTCCCAAGCATGATGTCCTTCTCCAAGGACTGGTCTCTCCTCACAACATGTCCAAAATATGTTATAATAGTACAGGAGGAAATTGCCCATCTTTCTCCCTTGAAGCAGCTGATGGAGCCAAACCATCTGCCTTTGGGTTGACAGTGCAAATCCTTATCCACGAGGCCACCAGACAAGCTGTGCTGTTTTGTAGCGTCGAGTTGGAACTGCCCCATAGCTGACCCTCCGACAGGTTTTCAGAGGCAGTTACGCACATGGAAGGATACTGCCCATCCTCTTCCCAGGGAGCAGCCAGAGGGTTTGCCTGCATGGCCTTGGGATTGCAGGGCAGCTTCTTACCACTGGGCTATGCTTGGTCCTGCATTCCAGTGTTTCCAAGTAAGAAAGCAAGCGCGGACCTCACAAGAGGCGCTCAGTGTATGAATGGAGGCTTTTCACCAGCACGTCAGACCTCACCCCTCAGTGTGCTGTGC